CTTCTGTCTGGGAGAGGCTGGGACTGGAGTACCTGGGGGCTCCCTCACAGCCAGTGCTGCTGCAGCACCTCCTACTGGGAGAGCCTGGTATTGCACTAGCAGAGCTCCTGTCATATTCTATTGCTAGCGTTTCATTGTTTTCTCTGGAGATTTTATTTCTGCATCGCCCAGTTATAATTTCTTGAGGCCCCTTACGTGTTTGTTCCTCAGGTTCTTCTTTGTCTGGAGACGAATGGGGTGGCTGGGCTTCCTCTCTGCCTTGTGCAGTTACAGCAGGAAAGTCACAGACTGGAATAGCAGAGAAACCACTATCACTTGAGATCATGTTCTGGGAAATAACCCGACACAGACTGGCCATCCAGAGAGCAGTTTGCACCCTAGGGCCATTTGTTTGTGTTAGTAACACCAGCGCCAGCCCTGATCCCACCCTGTAACTCCTCTGCCCTCCCACAGACTAACATTGTATTGCCTTTTTGCTGCACCAACGCCACAGTCAGGGCTTGGTCTCCATCTGATAGATGGGGAAGCGAGTAGAGGTGAGACGCAGTGACACACTTACGGCCATACTGCAAATCAGTGGCAGAGTGGGGAAGAGAGCCCATTTCTTGACTCTTAACTCTGTATTCAGTCCTCTAGAGCATAGCCAGCCTTCCTCAGTCTGTCCCTGCAGACCCAGGATCCAGCCTGTTGCTCTCTCCCCTGCGCGGCTGTTTTAAAGGGAAAACATTTCAAGTGGAAAAAAACGGCGGCTCTTCTTACCTGGAGGAAGGGAACTTATATCACCACCACCGCGCACTGCAAAACAAACATCAGAGAGTGAGATCAGGACCCTCAACCCCCTGCGGAGAAGTATCCCTCTCCCACCTTTCCCCACTGTCCCAGTCCTGCTCTCAGCGCCTTTAGAAAGAAGCCTTTTATCCCAGATGGCTGTGTCCCTCTTCCCCACTGAATGGTGCTGGGGCTCTGCTATTTCTAGCCTGCTGGGGCAGCAGGGTGAGACCCGTAAAATTATTACCCTGCAGATTTGCTGCTCTCTGACTGGATAGAGAGACTATGGGGTGGGCTGCTGCCTGTTAGTGGTGAAAACAGTACCTAAGCTCCTCCCACTAGTGAACAAACCCCACCCCTCCTAGGTGGAGCCTGAGTGTCTATTCAATCCCACCGTCTCCTTATGCAAGTGATCACGATCTGATCACGTTTATAATGTGAAAGCAAAGTCCAGACGGGTAATATATATCCTTGCTGCTTTAATAGGGCCAATTTCACAAAGCTAAAAACAATTATGAGACAAATCAGCTGGGAGGAAGAATTTAATCAGCAAAATGTGAATGATAATTGGGAATAATTCAAGAGCACCTTACTAGACGCCCAAAAAGCCACAGTCTAGAAAGAAGGCCGTACTGGTTTAAAAAAACCAACCTGCTTTAGAGGGATGTGAAGGCAGCTATTCAAAATAAAAAATAATATACAACAAATGGAAGAAAGGGTAAGCTGATAGTAATGAATATAAATCAGAAGTTAGGAATTGTAGAAAATTCTTAAGGGAAGAAAAAGGACACACGGCAACATCTATGGCAGAGATAAGAACAATAAAAAGGAGTTTTTTAAATACATTAAAAACAAAAAGAATCCTGACAATGGTATTGGCCCATTACAAGAGGGACATGGTAGAATTATCAA